AAGATGAAGATGAAGATGAAGATGAAGATGAAGATGAAGATGAAGATAAGGATGAAGATGAAGACCTGTAATTCTCGCAGATTTCAATGTCAACTTTTCAATAGCCGAATCTGATGAACTGACAAAATTTTCCAAAGAAAAATTCTCATTGGAAATGATTTATGGTAGAAATGATCCAACAACCAAAGGAGGGACTACCATTGATGCAGTTTTTGCCACAATCCACTAGTTAATATTGTAGATATTAATGTTTTCTCAGCCACAAATAATTATTAAATTTAGCAGTTGATTATAAAAAAAAATATAAAAAATTAAAGCTCGTTAAAAAAATTTTAAATAATAATATTTTGTATATTAGAAAATATGCGCATATGTATGTATGTACTTTCTCTGCGCGTAGGGACTATACGCACTGAGTTTTTTTTTTTTTCAAAAATATATATAGAAAATTTCCAAGGATATTGAAGAAAAAAAATCTTAAAAACGCATTTTCAATAACTATTTGTCTTTACGCGCCAAAAAAAAAACCTCATGTTTTTAACTCCGCAGAATTTTCTCTTTATTTGGTACCAATACTGTTATTCTACAGCGCGCTAAATTTAAAAAAAAAAATTTCTGATTTAATCATATCTTCGAAATTTCAGAATCTTTTAAAAACGCCCGAAGTCGGGGAAAAAACAAAAAACCCAGTTTTAACGTCTATCTGCATATCAACATACACATCAGTGCTCTATACGAACTAAATAAAAGGCTCAGATAAAACGAGAATTTAAATTACTCCGTATATTGCTCCAAATATGATTTTTAAACCCAGTATCCATTTGTTTTTTTTTTGTACACAAGTTATATTTCTGGATATCTCCGTGCCAACTCGATTTTTCCCCTCCATATGAAACAAAACTTGCAATAGAATAATCAATCGCAGGTCGCACAGTGTTTCGACTATATGGAGGCAGGTGGAAAATAAAACGGTTGGGCTTCGAGAGGGGAAAAGTTAAAGTCACACATACAAAATTTTACACCATTTACGCACACCGCTCTCTAAAAACGTTACCCAATAGAGCAAGTCTTTCCTTTTCGACTGTAATCAATTCTTTAGGTTAGGTTAAAAAAAAGTGAGTGCCGGTTCGTCAGGTCTTGCAAAATCTATGTAATTTTCAATTTTCTAAATTTTTAGCTTTTCAGTTTTTTGTTGCGTAATTTCGCGAAAAGAATCTTTCGATTAATGGGAGAAAAGAGAAGTTTTAAGTATAACCTTTGTTTTTCTGAGAGCCACATTTTTTGCGAATTGTAGACGTTATAGTGATCCAGTCTTCCCCATATTTTATATTTAAGGTTTTCTAATAAAAGAGAGAGGACCAACTACGTTTCATCGAAATCGGATGAAAGAGTGAGTACCAAATTTCATAATTTCCTATTCCTTAGTAAAATTATAGCAAATGTCAAGTTTCAGAAGGTTAATTAACTATTATTTCCATCTGACTCCATATAGTCAACACACTGTGGATAGTCAGTGAAATACACAAAAATATCTCGTTACCGAGTAATTAAAAAAAAAAAACTTAAAGAAAACTGAAGAAGCATTGCCTGTACAACTCTATTTGAGCCTGATTTATTGATTTATTTTTCACTGACACTGATACGGCACTGATGTTTGTGGATAGATCTTTACTATATTAGGCCGTAACTTCGCAAGTATATTGATATTTTGTCAGAGAATATTTTCTTCAAAACTTATGCTTTAATAATGCTTCATTTCCACCCAGCCTTAACTGCAGTTTATGGAAAAGGAGATTACGACTCGAAGGCGGTAATTGCTCATATTAAGTACAAGCAAACGAAAGTCCATAAGTAAG